TTTTACTTTTTTATTTCTTTTCAAATAATTTTCATTATTTTATCTTATTCTATGTAAATAAATAATATTGTTACATTCTGTATTATGTAATTTTGTGTTAAGTGCATTATTAATTTTACTATATACTGTAATTTTGTATATATATATATATATATATATATATATATATATATAATTATTTTGTAAATAATCCATAATGTAAAATAATTGCATTTTTAAGTCCTCTTCGAAGAAATCTGTGGGCTATATATTTAAAAAATAAATAAATATTTATATTATGAAAACCCTTTGCAATATCTGTACTTCAAATATGAGATGAAAATTGCAGAATAATTCTTTTTATTTATATTAGTGTTGATTATTTCATTATCTAATTTCATTTGTCTCTAAATATCATTAGCACAAAGGAGTACCCTATTGCCATGTACCATGTTATGCTGCATTATTCGGCCCTCAATTGTTTGGACATGGTACAAGAGTTGAATCTCACAAAAGTTTTGGTCAGAAAGGACCCATTCGTTCTAATAGCACTGCCCTACTTCCCAGAACACATTTAGAATCAAAGTTAAAGGTGAATATTATTAATGTTTGGGGTTATTTGCATCAAACTTTGAGAAATTTCAATTTAAATTGATTTATTGTAGGTTTTCAATCAATTCCATGAAAATATTGGGAAGAGTGGTGAAGTTCGAAGTAGGGAAGTTAATGGTCGATTAGTTCTAGAAGGATCATTAAGAGTTTATTGGGGTGTTCAAGCTGTGATTCATTTGAAGGAAGATGTTGATCAACGTACTCTAGTCACAAGGGGTCGTGCAATAGAAGTAGAGGTAGTATTTCTTTCTTAGATTATAATATTTGCTTATTTCATAAAATAATAATTATTTTAAAATTTATTGGGACAGAACATGGTATGTTGGCATATACTTCTTGCAGTCCTCTGATATAGCTTATTACATAATATTATATATAGCTTATCACTTAATTATATGTACAAACAAAAACTGTATTACATAATTTCTAATGCATACTTATTCTAAATATTTATATCTTTAGAACAAATTAGATGCTGCCGAAAATTCAAATTTGGATAAGAATCTCGATTCTGGTATTTCATCAATGAGCTCTACAGAAAATACCTCTTCCGAGGACAATTCTGATGCATCAAGTGAACAATCATGTCAATCATCAGAAAGTTCCTTGTCGCCTTCACAAAAGTGCCTTACATTACCGCCAAAATTAGATATAAAGCAAATAGATTGGGATGAGTTGGACGAACTTTTACAAGTTGAGAGAGTTGTGGATGATTCTGACAAGATATATCAAACTATGCCAAATAAGCCGATGCATACATCTGACATAGAGAAGCCAAGCAAAGTTCAGCAAACAGATCCAATGGATTCTATGTTTAATTTAAGTAGAAGTATGATCGAAACTACTGATAAAAATGACAGCGATGATATTGTAGTACAATTCAGTAAAAGTTGTGATAAAAGTCCAAGACCTATAGACCCGTCTCGTATTAATGATTCTCTCAAGTTATATACAGAAAGTGTTAATAAAAATAATAATTTATCAGATGTGTATGTGAGAAGAGATATACAACAAGAGGTTTTGAATGAAAATGTAGCAAATGAAAAATTAGCTGCAGCAGCATTGTATGATTCAGATGATGACGATAAATACTATATGAAAAATGAATCTAATAATAGCGATAAATCCTCAGAAGAATATATCAGAAAGAATAGAAGCACAGCTATCAAGAGACGATCGGGTAAAAGAAGGTAGGTAATCATTGCACAGACAAAAAACTTTTCAATACATACTTAAATATAATAGATATTTATGTATGTATTTAAATACTATTAAAATAATTTGGTTTTATATTATAGAATTTCATATAATTTAATCTTATTAATCACATTTTAGATCGAGAACAAAATTGCAAAGAAGATGTTCTATAAATGGACATTTTTATAACAGAGAAACAAGTTTTTTTACACCACCTCATGGTTCACAAATGAATGTTTGGGTTAGCTCTTTGCTTGATACTCGGGCTGTGATATCATTACTATTGGATAAGTATAAAGTGGATTCTAAACCAGATAATTTTGCATTATTTGTAGTGAGAGATAATGGAGGTAATTTCAGTTTTAAATTAAAAAAAATATTTCCTTTTTTTAAAGATAGATATATAGTTAACTTGTATTGAATTTTCAATATCAGAACAAAAACGTTTGGCAGCCAATGAATCACCATTGGTTAGAAGAATTTTGTTGGGTCCTCATGAAGATGTTGCTAGAGTATTTTTAATGGATAGTGTTGCTCGTGATATCACACCACAAGTCGCCCAATTTTTGAATTTGAGTATTGCAGAATGTAAAGCAATCTTACAACAGTATGATGCTGAAGAACAGCGAGAAATTGCACGTATTCAAGAAAGGTAAAATAATAAAAATAGAATTACTTTCATCAAAAAATATATATTAAATATTTTTGATATTTTAGGTACAAAGAATTAAGTAGAAGGATATTGCAACGTATGGAAACTCTAAAAGTTCGATTATAAATATTTGTTGCAATATTTGTAAAAATATCTATAAAAATATATTCATTTTTCTACTAAAACCACATATTAGATTTTTACGTGCACAAAGAGCATAATCTCATCTTTATTATCATATTTTTATATACATTTTCAAATGAATTTTTGATATTTGTAAATTATTTGATAATATCCTTAATACTCATATGTTATAAAAGTATGTTTACTTCTAATTATATTAGTCATTCTTTCTGAATTCTATTGTATTGTATTGACATTCTATTTTGTTTTTTATACTAATATAAATTATAAATTTTAAACACTTTTATATAATCACACATTGACAATAAAATAAACAAATCAATAACAATTTTGATATGTTGTTTAAGATTAATATAATTCAGGATAAAAATTGTAAATTTGAATTTTTAATAAAACATTTTTCATTAATTTCATTTATAACTTTCATTAAATGAGAACTAATATATAAAATAATCTTAAATTATAATACTATGAAAATATAAAATTACGGTATTGTGAAATATACATTACCAAATACTTTGTTATAGAAATTATGACACAGTTGATTTAGTAAATGTAAGGCAAATAATAGTCTTATATTTTAATTAAAGTTTTTTGTTTTTAATTTAAATTAAAGTTTTTAGTCTTTTATTTTAATTAAATAATTTATTTATATATTAGTCTAGACAGATTTCTACTAAGAGAGTTAGTTATATTTAAAAAAAAATGTTAGTATGATGAGCTGAAAATTATTTTTAACTTCCCGAAAAGGTTTATGTTTTCGCCAGAAAATCTGTTTCAAGTTATTCTTATCAAAAAATGTCTTCTCTACGTTTTAAGTCATTTGCCGAAATCAGTAATTTTAAAGCTATTCGAAGTAACTGGATTAGGACTAGAGGACTAGTTAACTTACCATAGAGTAAGTTATAGTAATCTCAAAAAAATCGAAAATGAAAATTTATATATATATATATATATATATATATATATATATATATATATATATATATATATATATATGAGTAGTGATATCAGTAGAAACAATTAACCGATTAATAATTCTGCAAATTAGTAAATAACAGCCAATAACAGCTCTGTTTTTCGCTTAATCTACTTATTCAATTTTGTCTTTTCAATTTGAAGTTACCATGGAATCGAAAAACAAATTATCTAGTGTTCAATCCCGCAAGCGCAAACCTGCGAAAGATTAAATTGTTGGGCATTATTGACGAAAAATTGCGAGCTGATTTCGTTGGAACGGACCTTTTTAAAAAATATAAACAAATTATAATCGAGAAAATAAAAATTGGGGTGTCAGTGCTTAGAAAATGGCATGTTTATTCCGAGAAATTGAATTGTAGCTTTTGTTTTTGTTGCAAATATTTCTCATCTGATGAACTTTGAATGTTGAAGACATATGCGTGGTTAGGGTTATTGAAATGGGACAAATATAAAAAATTAAAGCAAAATTTACTTTGAAACGAAAATCTTAAGTCTTTTTTATATCTAGTGGTGTCCACACTATAAATTTAATAATTCTTAACTATGAAGAAATTGTACATATCAAATATAATAAGTTTTTTTTTTAATATAGTTCAAGAAATGTGTAATTTCTTTGCATTTTTTACTGATTTTTAGACAATTTAAACAGACAATAAAACGTTAAAAATTTAACTTTAAAACAACAAACTGATACTCTAAATATGACGGGAAACCAAGGATGAATACAATTCGACTCTTACTATTATCAATAAGGAGAAGTTTACGACGCAATTTTGGATATTGTAAATAATGAAAAATTAAATTAAATTCAAATTTAAAAAATCCAACATGAAATACGAGTGTTATGTTTGAAAATTAAATGCTTGTTTTTTTAGCTCTCTTGGCATGATTTGCTCAATAGAATAAATCGCATCATAAACAAGTAAAATGCTTTAAAACTGAAATATTAATATTGCACATACATTAAAAATAATTGAAAATTTAAAAACATTTGATTAAAATCAGCCCGCGAATCGCCTCGATTTTCTAAATAAATTTAAAATAAACATATTTTATACGCTTTTAGATTATATCTAATTTATTGTGTACTAATCCAGAATAATTAAAAACTAATTTTTAAAAAAATATGTAAATATTTATATAATTTTAATGATAAACTGTTAAAACAGTTCATTAATAGAGGGTGGGGGCGCTAGAAAAAAAAGTTGCATGCGGGCGCTAAGGACCCCGGGACCGGCCCCCTAGACAATATAATAATATGACCGGCCCTGTATATATATATAGGTTTCAAAGGTTTTTGAACATTTTGGCATACCTTTAGAAAAAATGGATGTATGATGGATGTATGTGTGTGTGTGTGCGGATACAAATGCCACTTACAACTAGTTGTTTACAAATTCCTACGTGGCAACACGTAACGGACATTTCTGCACTCATCACTAGGGTTGAATTTGTGTAATCTAACCTAAAATATTGTCTCTAAATAAAGATCGAGTAAAGAAAATCAAGTAAATGATTTTCAAAAAAACAAAAACAATGGGAAAGAAGTGAAAATAATAAAATCAAGAAATAATAAAGAAAAAGAAGGAACTTTATCTTTATTTTTAATATTCAATAATTTTTTATCAATAGATTGACAATTTGCAAATGACGAGAAATTAATTTATTTATATTTAGTCAACATGCGTCGCCAAGAACGTCGAAATCCTTGGGGTAATAATACGAATAAAAAACCAGCGAATCTTTCGTTGGCAAAAAATGCCGAAAAAAAATTTTTGGAGTCCCATCAGAAATTATCAGCAGCTATCGAAAAACATGTATCTTATGATGAATCTTCTGAAGAGGAGGAATTAGAATCAGATAAAATATTAGGTTTGGTTTTTTAATAAATGTATATAATGAGTATTTTGGAGTATTAGCATATGTTATTTTACTTTGTGCCCTTTTATCATGAATACAACTTTCATTTTTGCATTAATATATATATATATATATATATATATATATATATATATATATATATATCTTTCAGATCAAGTTTTGAAAAGTTATGCCAATATCGGTGGTTCATCAAAAGATCTGGGAAGAACTGAAGTGTTTTTGAAAGAGGCATTTTTATCCAATGCAGCTATTTGTCTTATTTGTATATGCTCTGCTAAACGTACTGATAAAGTAAATATTTTAGCATTTATTTATAGTATATCATATTGTGTGCTAAATTTAGTTAACATAAATATTATTTATAGATTTGGAGTTGTCATGGATGTTATTCAGTTTTCCATTTGACTTGTATACAACGATGGGCAAACGACAATTTATTTCAACAAAGAAATTTACAAGAAGAAGGAATCTATAACCAGCAAAAAGCTACCATTCAATGGAGTTGCCCTAAATGTAGATTAGATTACTCTTCAAATGAGGTACGTCCTTGGATTATAACAATAGTATCTTGATAAATTCAAATTGTATGTGTATTTTAGGTTCCTAATAAATACACATGCTTTTGTGGTGCTGTAGCAAATCCACCACCACATCCTTGGTTGGTACCACATTCTTGCGGAGAAACATGCAACAAACCATTTGAACCAAATTGTGGACATAGTTGTTTGTTACTCTGCCATCCAGGTTGTAAAATAATTCATATATGATATATTCCTTTTGAAATATTTACTTGAATATTGAAATGTATAACTAATATTTTGCATTTGAATTTTAGGACCGTGTCCACCATGTCCTAAAACTATAAAAGTTACCTGCTATTGTGAACAATCTAATCCAATCCCAATTCGATGTTCTGTCGGTCGTTGGAATTGTACATCCAAATGCCAAAGATTATTATCTTGCAAAACACATAAATGTGAAAAAACATGTCATGAAGGAAAATGTCCACCTTGTCCTAAAGAAAGTTTACAAAAATGCTTGTGCGGTCTTCAAGAAGTTGTCAGACGTTGCAGTGAAGAATTTTGGCAGTGTGAAAATGTAATGTAAATCTCACCAAACAAAAGCCAGTTAGCAAAAACATTCATATATTTGTATGATCAGTATTGCATAATATATACCTAATACTTTTAGGCTTGTAATAAAAATTTATCTTGTGGTTTGCATAAATGTGCACAAAAATGTCATAGTGGTGACTGTGATGCTTGTCCAGGAACATTACCTAGAGAATGTCCATGTGGGAAACAGTTAGTAACTTTGGCATGTTCAGAAGAAGTATTACCTTGTGGTGATACCTGCGGAAAACTCCTTTTATGTGGACAGCATTATTGTAATCAAAGATGTCATAGAGGAGATTGCAGTACGGTAATATTTTGAAATGAGGTTAAATTTTCATATTGTTTCATTATGTTGATCTGATTTTGGTTGACCATTCTGACTTGTTCCTTTTCTTCATTTTTTATTCATATATTCTTTCAGTGTTTGGTGGTTATAGAAAAATTATGCCGATGTGGCTCCAATACCAAAGAATTGCCTTGTCAGAAAGAACACCTTTGCAATACAAAGTGCAGAAAAATGCGTGATTGCGGAAATCATGTTTGCAACCGAAAAGTAAGTTACAATATTTTGAAATATATATATATATATATATATATATATATATATATATATATATTATGGTGGTCCTTAAAATGGTCATTTTCGAAATGACTTTCTCAAATGGTTCCAAATAGATAAAAAAACAATTCCCCGAAAGTTTTAGCTCTTAATATTAACGTTTAGATAGAGCGCAATTCAATCAAAGTTTTGTATGGAAATAGCATGGAAAATTTTTCAAAAATTTTAAAAATGTTTTTTAGATGTAATTTAGCGAACAAATGAATGAATAAAACTCATTCATTTGTTGCTAAGTTATATCTAAAACATTTTTTTTTAATTTTCAAAATTTAAAAAAAATTACAAACTTTAATTAAATTAACTAAACGTTAATGTTAAGAGCTAAAACTTTCAGAGAATTGTTTTTTATCAAATTGGAACCATTTGAGCCCCTGGGAGCAAGAAAATTCGAAAATGACCATTTTAAGGACCACCCTAATATATATATATATATATATATATATATATATATATATATATATATATCTTATATATAAAAATGGAGCTCTCTTTCAAATGTCCGAATAAAACTCGAAAACGGCTGAATCGATTTGGCCAGTCTTAGTCTTGAAAAATTCGTGCCAATCCAGAGAATGTCCAAAAGGTGAGAAATTATTTCAAATCCGCGTAGAAACTTTACATTTATAATTTGAAAATTTTTGTAGAAGCGTAATTTAAATAGAACAATGGACGGTGGCAATTTTGTGAAATGTCAAACGCTTTTGACAGATGATGTTCAATTACGTTTAATAGGATGTTTTACGCGAATATTTACGACAATATAAGTCGAAAGACAAAAAAAAACTTGGATTGGATTTTACCATGTTTTCTATAGAAAGTATATAAAACTTCCAGTTTGATTGTATTGACAAAATATCGGTAATCTTTGAAAATCCATAATAAAAGCATTTTCTTCCGTTAGTAGTTTTTTAGTATTAGTTAAAAATGTAATTATTTTGTAAAATACCTTTGAATTAAAATAAGGTTTTAAACGTATTTGCCACCTGACCGTTCCAAGTTACCCCGCCTATAGGGTAAAAAGGTGCCGATAACGAATTTTTGAAAGACATAAAAAAATACATTTCTACAATGATGAAGTAGATGGCAATTTTACTGAACGTAGTCAGATAATTGTTTGTTAATTCATCGAATGTTACTTGAAACTTCGTAACTTAAAAATTTCAAAAAAAAAAATTGAAAAAAAGATTAAAACAATTTTTCCCAAAAGCAATTATTTTGTTAAAACAAGCAGAAAGTTCTTTGAATCATTCAAATCGGACACTTAGTTCTCTCAAGAACTGCCATTTTTTGTACATTTAGCTCTATCGGAATATCGGAGTATCGGAGTATAGGAATGTTGAAATATCTGAATATCTGAATATCCGAATATCCGAATATCCGAATATCCGCGTATCCGAATATCCGAATATCCGCATATCCGAATATCCGAATATCCGAATCTCGGAATATCCGAATCTCGGAATATCCGAATCTCGGAATATCCGAATCTCGGAATATCCGAATCTCGGAATATCCGAATCTCGGAATATCCGAATCTCGGAATATCCGAATCTCGGAATATCCGAATCTCGGAATATCCGAATATCGGAATATCCGAATATCCGAATATCCGAATATCCGAATATCCGGACTTTCTATTATCCGAATATCCGGACTTTCGGTTATCCGGACTTTCGGTTATCCGGACTTTCGATTATCCGGACTTTCGGTTATCCGGACCTTCGGTTATCCGGACTTTCGGTTATCCGGACTTTCGGTTATCCGGACTTTCGGTTATCCGGACTTTCGGTCATCCGGACTTTTGGTTATCCGGACTTTCGGTCATCCGGACTTTCGGTCATCCGGACTTTCGGTTATCCGGACTTTCGGTTATCCGGACTTTCGGTTATCCGGACTTTCGGTTATCCGGACTTTCGGTTATCCGGACCTTCGATTATCCGGACTTTCGGTTATCCGGACTTTCGGTTATCCGGACTTTCGGTTATCCGGACCTTCGATTATCCGGACTTTCGGTTATCCGGACTTTCGGTTATCCGGACTTTCGGTTATCCGGACTTTCGGTTATCCGGACTTTCGGTTATCCGGACTTTCGGTCATCCGGACTTTCGGTCATCCGGACTTTCCATTATCCGGACTTTCGATTATCCGGACTTTCGGTTATCCGGACTTTCGGTCATCCGGACTTTTGATTATCCGGAATTCGGATTATCCGGAATTATATTATATATCATAAATGTAAATTAAATCCAAAAAGATGATGTCACCAACACTTTTCCAACTTTTAGAAGTTTTTCCGGGGTCCGGAAAGTCCGGATAATCGAAAGTCCGGATAATCGAAAGTCCGGATAATCGAATGTCCGGATAATTGAATGTCCGGATAATCGAATGTCCGGATAATTGAATGTCCGGATAATTGAATGTCCGGATAATCGAATGTCCGGATAATCGAATGTCCGGATAATCGAATGTCCGGATAATCGAATGTCCGGATGATCGAATGTCCGGATAATCGAATGTCCGGATGATCGAATGTCCGGATGATCGAATGTCCGGATAATCGAATGTCCGGATAATTGAATGTCCGGATAATCGAATGTCCGGATAATCGAATGTCCGGATAATCGAATGTCCGGATAATCGAATGTCCGGATAATCGAATGTCCGGATAATCGAACGTCCGGATAATCGAACGTCCGGATAATCGAACGTCCGGATAATCGAACGTCCGGATAATGGAATGTCCGGATAATGGAATGTCCGGATAATCGAATGTCCGGATAATCGAACGTCCGGATAATCGAAAGTCCGGATAATCGAACGTCCGGATAATCGAAGGTCCGGATAATCGAATGTCCGGATAATCGAAAGTCCGGATAATCGAAAGTCCGGATAATCGAATGTCCGGATAATCGAATGTCCGGATAATCGAATGTCCGGATAATCGAATGTCCGGATAATCGAATGTCCGGATAATCGAATGTCCGGATAATCGAATGTCCGGATAATCGAATGTCCGGATAATCGAATGTCCGGATAATCGAATGTCCGGATAATCGAACGTCCGGATAATCGAATGTCCGGATAATCGAATGTCCGGATAATCGAATGTCCGGATAATCGAATGTCCGGATAATCGAACGTCCGGATAATCGAATGTCCGGATAATCGAACGTCCGGATAATCGAATGTCCGGATAATGGAATGTCCGGATAATCGAATGTCCGGATAATCGAATGTCCGGATAATCGAATGTCCGGATAATCGAATGTCCGGATAATCGAATGTCCGGATAATCGAATGTCCGGATAATTGAATGTCCGGATAATCGAATGTCCGGATAATCGAACGTCCGGATAATCGAATGTCCGGATAATCGAATGTCCGGATAATCGAATGTCCGGATAATCGAACGTCCGAATAATCGAATGTCCGGATAATCGAATGTCCGGATAATCGAATGTCCGGATAATCGAATGTCCGGATAATCGAATGTCCGGATAATCGAATGTCCGGATAATCGAACGTCCGGATAATCGAACGTCCGGATAATCGAACGTCCGGATAATCGAACGTCCGGATAATCGAACGTCCGGATAATCGAATGTCCGGATAATCGAATGTCCGGATAATCGAATGTCCGGATAATCGAATGTCCGGATAATCGAATGTCCGGATAATCGAACGTCCGGATGATCGAACGTCCGGATGATCGAACGTCCGGATAATCGAACGTCCGGATAATCGAATGTCCGGATAATCGAATGTCCGGATAATCGAATGTCCGGATAATCGAATGTCCGGATAATCGAATGTCCGGATAATCGAATGTCCGGATAATCGAACGTCCGGATAATCGAACGTCCGGATAATCGAACGTCCGGATAATCGAACGTCCGGATAATCGAACGTCCGGATAATCGAATGTCCGGATAATCGAATGTCCGGATAATCGAATGTCCGGATAATCGAACGTCCGGATAATCGAACGTCCGGATAATCGAATGTCCGGATAATCGAACGTCCGGATAATCGAATGTCCGGATAATCGAATGTCCGGATAATCGAATGTCCGGATAATCGAATGTCCGGATAATCGAATGTCCGGATAATCGAATGTCCGGATAATCGAATGTCCGGATAATCGAACGTCCGGATAATCGAACGTCCGGATAATCGAATGTCCGGATAATCGAATGTCCGGATAATCGAATGTCCGGATAATCGAAAGTCCGGATAATCGAATGTCCGGATAATCGAATGTCCGGATAATCGAATGTCCGGATAATCGAATGTCCGGATAATCGAATGTCCGGATAATTGAATGTCCGGATAATCGAATGTCCGGATAATTGAATGTCCGGATAATCGAATGTCCGGATAATCGAATGTCCGGATAATCGAATGTCCGGATAATCGAATGTCCGGATAATCGAATGTCCGGATAATCGAACGTCCGGATAATCGAACGTCCGGATAATCGAACGTCCGGATAATCGAATGTCCGGATAATCGAATGTCCGGATAATCGAAAGTCCGGATAATCGAATGTCCGGATAATCGAATGTCCGGATAATCGAATGTCCGGATAATCGAATGTCCGGATAATCGAATGTCCGGATAATCGAATGTCCGGATAATCGAACGTCCGGATAATCGAACGTCCGGATAATCGAATGTCCGGATAATCGAATGTCCGGATAATCGAAGTCCGGATAAACGAAGTCCGGATAATCGAACGTCCGGATAATCGAACGTCCGGATAATCGAATGTCCGGATAATCGAATGTCCGGATAATCGAATGTCCGGATAATCGAATGTCCGGATAATCGAATGTCCGGATAATCGAATGTCCGGATAATCGAATGTCCGGATAATCGAATGTCCGGATAATCGAATGTCCGGATAATCGAATGTCCGGATAATCGAATGTCCGGATAATCGAATGTCCGGATAATCGAATGTCCGGATAATCGAATGTCCGGATAATCGAATGTCCGGATAATCGAATGTCCGGATAATCGAATGTCCGGATAATCGAATGTCCGGATAATCGAATGTCCGGATAATCGAATGTCCGGATAATCGAATGTCCGGATAATCGAATGTCCGGATAATCGAATGTCCGGATAAACGAATGTCCGGATAATCGAATGTCCGGATAATCGAATGTCCGGATAATCGAACGTCCGGATAATCGAACGTCCGGATAATCGAACGTCCGGATAATCGAATGTCCGGATAATCGAATGTCCGGATAATCGAATGTCCGGATAATCGAATGTCCGGATAATCGAATGTCCGGATAATCGAATGTCCGGATAATCGAATGTCCGGATAATCGAATGTCCGGATAATCGAACGTCCGGATAATCGAACGTCCGGATAATCGAACGTCCGGATAATCGAATGTCCGGATAATCGAATGTCCGGATAATCGAACGTCCGGATAATCGAAAGTCCGGATAATCGAATATCCGGATAATCGAACGTCCGGATAATCGAATGTCCGGATAATCGAATGTCCGGATAATCGAATGTCCGGATAATCGAACGTCCGGATAATCGAACGTCCGGATAATCGAACGTCCGGATAATCGAATGTCCGGATAATCGAATGTCCGGATAATCGAATGTCCGGATAATCGAAAGTCCGGATAATCGAATGTCCGGATAATCGAATGTCCGGATAATCGAATGTCCGGATAATCGAATGTCCGGATAATTGAATGTCCGGATAATCGAATGTCCGTAAAATGGAATGTCCGGATAATCGAATGTCCGGATAATCGAATGTCCGGATAATCGAATGTCCGGATAATCGAATGTCCGGATAATCGAACGTCCGGATAATCGAACGTCCGGATAATCGAACGTCCGGATAATCGAACGTCCGGATAATCGAATGTCCGGATAATCGAATGTCCGGATAATCGAATGTCCGGATAATCGAATGTCCGGATAATCGAATGTCCGGATAATCGAATGTCCGGATAATCGAATGTCCGGATAATCGAATGTCCGGATAATCGAATGTCCGGATAATCGAATGTCCGGATAATCGAATGTCCGGATAATCGAATGTCCGGATAATCGAATGTCCGGATAATCGAATGTCCGGATAATCGAATGTCCGGATAATCGAATGTCCGGATAATCGAATGTCCGGATAATCGAACGTCCGGATAATCGAACGTCCGGATAATCGAATGTCCGGATAATCGAATGTCCGGATAATCGAATGTCCGGATAATCGAATGTCCGGATAATCGAATGTCCGGATAATCGAACGTCCGGATAATCGAACGTCCGGATAATGGAATGTCCGGATAATCGAACGTCCGGATAATCGAATGTCCGGATAATCGAATGTCCGGATGATCGAACGTCCGGATATCGAATGTCCGGATAATTGAATGTCCGGATTATTGAATGTCCGGATAATCGAATGTCCGGATAATCGAATGTCCGGATAATCGAATGTCCGGATAATCGAATGTCCGGATAATCGAATGTCCGGATAATCGAACGTCCGGATAATGGAATGTCCGGATAATCGAATGTCCGGATAATCGAATATCCGGATAATCGAACGTCCGGATAATCGAATGTCCGGATAATCGAATGTCCGGATAATCGAATGTCCGGATAATCGAACGTCCGGATAATCGAAAGTCCGGATAATTGAACGTCCGGATAATCGAACGTCCGGATAATCGAATGTCCGGATAATCGAATGTCCGGATAATCGAATGTCCGGATAAACGAATGTCCGGATAACCGAATGTCCGGATAATCGAATGTCCGGATAATCGAATGTCCGGATAATCGAATGTCCGGATAATCGAATGTCCGGATAATCAAACGTCCGGATAATCGAACGTCCGGATAATCGAACGTCCGGATAATCGAACGTCCGGATAAACGAATGTCCGGATAATCGAATGTCCGGATAATCGAATGTCCGGATAATCGAATGTCCGGATAATCGAATGTCCAGAGAACTAAGTGCCCGATTTGAATGATTCAAAGAACTTTCTGCTATTCAGATATTCGGATATTCGGGTATTCGGATATTCGGATATTCGGATATTCGGATATTCAGATATTCGGATATTCCGAGATTCGGATATTTCGAGATTCAGATATTCCGAGATTCGGATATTCCGAGATTCGGATATTCCGAGATTCGGATATTCCGAGATTCGGATATTCGGAGATTCGGATATTCGGATATTCGGATATTCGGATATTCGGATATTCGGATATCCGGAATATCTGAATATCCGGAATATCTGAATATCCGAATATCTCTAGAAATTGATCAGAATATACATTACTTAGCAAAACAACGTTTGCCGGGTCAGCTAGTATATATATATATATATATATATATATATATATATATATATTCATTTGTTTCTGCTTTTGTTTTAGTGCTGCGAAGGTATTTGTCCACCTTGCAATAAACCTTGCGGACGTACTTTACGATGCGGGCAACATAAATGTGAATCACGGTGCCATAAAGGGCCTTGTTTTCCATGCACAATAGAGGCTACGGTTTCTTGTAAATGTGGAAAAACAAAAGTGAAAGTCCCTTGTGGTCGTGAAAAAAAAACTAGGCCCCCTCGTTGTACTCACTTATGCAAGTAAGTTTATATAAATAAATATAAATTTTTATATATAAAATAAAATTATATTTTAATACGTTTTCAAATATTTTTAATATAAAATAGTGCTTAATATATATTTGTTTTTCTAGATTAGATCCTGTCTGTAATCATAAGTCTCTTGTACCGCATCGATGTCACATGGGCCCTTGTCCAAAATGCAAATTGCCTTGTGGAAATGTTTTAAATTGTGGTCATGTTTGTGAGGTTCCATGTCATACAGCTGTAACCGTTACAGAAAATCAAGTTGAGAATCCTATCGGTCCTTGGGAAGCTAAACAAATAGTAGGTGTTTTAAAATGAATAGACAACTAACATAGTTATAAGTAGCATTTTATCTTAATGTAATTTTTCGATTTGTGTACATAATGAACTTTATCAATCAGAATTGAGATTCAGATATTCAGATGAAATGTTCAATTGTTAATTTCCAAAATAAAAACGATTTCCAATTAATGTTATTCAAACATACTTATAATATCTATAATTGTATAAATTAAATTAATTTTTCTATCACATTTTATATAATGCATTTCTAGTTCTAAAAATGTATATTATTTAACTGACTGCAATCAATACTACGCTCTTCGAAACACTCAACGTTCATATGCTTCGGCATAATTTCTGATTGGAATCCCTTAAACGCGCAGCGAAATACTAAACTTTGTAGATGTTTTACATATTAAACGGTTATCGTAGATCTATAATATTTTAGTACATTTAAATAAAAATGTAAATTTCATCAAAAACGCCAGAAACATTATTCAATGCTTAAATACGAAGAAACGGCTCGACCGATCTTTACCAAACTATAATCAGCGCGATTGCCATCCAATATCTTTGGAATAGTTTTTATTTTTTTAAATCTATTGAAGATTGTGGGATAAAAGGTAGCAAAAATTTACATGTTTCTGTTAATTACAAAGAGGAACGGCTTGACCGATTGTCGCAAAAAAGTGGCCGACGCTTTTAAATCCATTTGATATCCTTATTTTCGAAATCGTTCCAGTCCTTTTTGAGAAAACATTGACGAAAGGTCAAAAATTTGGTACACATTCGAAATTTGGTCTCATCAATAGTCTTATGCAATTGTATAGGTAGAACTTTATTTTAGAATGGTATAATAATTTTATATTTATATAATTATTTGTTATAAAATAGTTTTTGTCATTATCAGGCTGTTTTAAAAGCTTTGCCTTGCCCACCATGCACTTTTCCAGTTCCATATTCTTGCCTAGGAGAGCATGAAAGTCCTGATTGGCCATGCCATTTAACACAAGGTGGTCGAAAGAGTTGTGGCAGAGTTTGTGGAAAAGCCCTGGCCTGTGGTAACCACAATTGTCAAATAGAATGTCATACATTGTATGATAAAGATGGTATTGAGGTAACAGCTGAATTCTGTTTAACATTTGATATCTTATATGAAATATTATATGTATATTTATTTATTTAGGTTTGTATTCCATGTGACAAGCCTTGTTTATTACCCCAACCAGAGGGCTGTGTTCATCAGTGTCCTCGTCCTTGTCATGTTGGACCATGCAGATTATGCTCTGTTCATGTAAAGCGTACTTGTCATTGTGGACTTACCCAACTTTATTTAAGATGCGGAGAATTGTTTGGCCGAAAAGTTACAGAAGCAGAAAGGGACAAATTATTGTCTTGTGGAAATCAATGCACAAAAACTGTAAACCCAGATAAAACTACTATACTTTGAATGATTGGTTTATTTATTATCTTGATAAAAATTATAAAATCAAACTACCATTATTTTTTCAGTATGCTTGCGGACATCGTTGTCAAAATAATTGTCATCCTGGTGAGTGTCAAGGAGCAGACAATTGTCATAAAAAAGTAAAATTATACTGCCCGTGCAAAAGAATTAAGCGAGAATTTACTTGTGATAAAGTGAGAATGAAAATTGCACAAGTTGATTGCGATGATACCTGTCAGGAAAAGAAGCAAAATGAGGAAAAGTTACTGCATGAACAAGAAGTTCAAAGAAAACTTTTAGAAGAAATGAAAAATAAAACTGAAGTAGAATTGTTTGAAAAGAAGTTTTCCGGTAAAAGAAAGTATCGACAAAAAGCAATTTATGCAGATGAAGATTCAGCTAATTCAAATTGGTTGAAATTGATGGCAATCTCATTTGCTATTATCTCAGGTGTTATTGCTGCTATTCTGTACGTCCAAAATATATGAAGAAAAATCTTTATGTTCCAGTATAGAATTCGATACCAAACTCATATCAAAGATAGAGAACATATTTTTAGCACTGCTAATAATATATAATGTAATAATAATTATTTATACTTATAAATAAATATTGAATAAATAAATTATGAAATAAACTTCAACAATAGTTTTATGTTGGCAATAAACAAAACGTTTTTAAAGCTTGTGCAAACTTCATTAAAAATAATGAAGTTTTCTAACCTCAAATAAATTTGATTCTAACCTGTAAAAGTCATAATTTTTGTGCTTATTAGGATTATGTAAAAATAAGTGTAATATAATATAAAAAGCATGATAAAAATTAAGTTAATAATGCAATAACGCCCGAATTTTATTATATCAAGATGATCTTTTCCCGAATATTTAAGCTAAAACCTCATAATTTATTTTATATCATTAAAACCAAATACTCCACCA